CTGGAGCGGGAGAATTGCGAGCTGGAGCGGCGCATCCAGGAGCGCAGCCAGCAGCAGGAGCCCTTGCTGTGCCCCAGCTACCAGTCCTACTTCCGCACCATCGAGGAGCTGCAGCAGAAGGTGAGGGGTGGCTCTCGTGGGGGCCTAGTGGCCGCTGTCTTTGAACAGTGACCCTTTCGGAGTTCAACCGGACCTCACGCTGGAACCGTTTTTTTCAGATTCTGTGTGCCAAGTCTGAGAATTCCAAGCTGATGGTCCAAGTAGACAATGCCAAACTGGCTGCTGATGACTTCCGCACCAAGTACGTTGAACCTTTGGGCCTGGCTGATCCCTCCTACTCTTTCCCAGCCCTCTGGGCCTAACGTTGCCTGGAAGGGAAAAGAAAAACATTCATCCATCATTCTTTCTCCTCCAAGTCTGGTGATGGGAAGCCAGTGTCAAACAGGGACACAGGCTCGTGGGCAGCCTGCCCTTCAGTGGACACAGCTGGTGTCCTTTATCTGAACTGCTCGGGACTGGAAGTGTAGTAGAGGTCTGGGTTTGGGACTATGGTAATATTTGCATAAATGTAATGAAGTATTTTGGGGATGGGATGTGAGTCTAAACACAGAGCTCACTTATGTTTTATTTATACCTCATACCTGTAGCCAGAAAGTAATTTTGCACACTATTTCTAGTGCCTGGTGCTTTGGTTATGACCTGTCAGGTAAGGTTGAATGCACTATTACAGGGGTCACAGAGTTCAGATAGCCGGGCACTTCAGATTTTCCACTTTTTGATTAGGAATGCTCAACCTGTATTACTTTTCCTGGAAAGGTTTCTTAAACCCCAAGATTCAGAGACTGAAACTGATTCCTCTTTGGGAATGGATTGATTTGGGGTTAGTAGGAGAGGGAGGGAGGGTCTCCACCGTCTGGGCCGGTGTTTCTTCTGGTGTTGGGGTGACGGAAGGGCCTGTGCTCCGACTAACCAGGCCTCTCATCGAGGAGACATACAGGTGCGGAGGGCAAGCACTGTGTAAGTTACAAAGAGCTGGGCCCATCCCATGCAACAAGAGGTGTGCGGGGGGAAGCTGGCCTTTTCCCATGGCTGGTCTTCCTACCGGGATCTGTATGCAGGTACCAGTCGGAGCTGTCCCTGCGGCAGCTGGTGGAGTCGGACATCAACAGCCTGCGCAGGATCCTGGACGAGCTGACCCTGTGCAAGTCCGACCTGGAGGCGCAGGTGGAGTCGCTGAAGGAGGAGCTGCTGTCCCTCAAGCGGAACCATGAGGAGGTGAGATTTAAAACAAAAGGGGCTTCAGAGCTAAGCCTTTAGTGTGGGGGATCAGGAGGCAATGACCGTCAGGCTCCCTGGCATGGGACCCTTCTCTGAGGGACTCAGTAGCCCTCGGGAGGAAGACATCTGTCTGCATCTGGGGGAGAGATGATGTGGGGCTGGAGCTGCAGATATAGAGGAAGGGCGTCTACCGATCCAGCTTGCTCTCTGCTGGACACTGTTAGGTCCTGGATTTGTGGTGCAGACGGAGGGAAAAAAGCATGGTCCTTGTTTCCAAGACCGGCCAGTGTGGTGTGGGGAGAACCGCGGATTCACGGTGCAGCACAGGCAGAGAGAACCAAGGGCCACAGGAGGCGTGCATGGGAGTGAACGAGGAGGCAGGGAGAGGCCTGCTCAGACGCAAGGAGGATTCCCACAGCTGAGGGAGGAGGCTGAGCTACCCTGAGCAGGGTGTGTCAGGCAGGGCCGGTCAGTGTATCGTCCAGGAGGCTGGTGTCTGTCCTGCCCATGATCAGGAGACTCCTGATGGTACCTTACTGGCAAGGTTGTACTCACTTCTTTACAGCAGGAAGCGATCCTTTTCCGCGGGCTCACTTCTTGTCCTTCCTCCCCCAGGAAGTCAACACCCTGCGCTGCCAGCTCGGGGACCGCCTCAACATAGAGGTGGACGCGGCGCCCTCCGTGGACCTGAACCGCGTGCTCAACGAAGTCAGGAGCACGTACGAGGCCGTGGTGGAGACCAACCGCAGGGAGGTGGAGGAGTGGTACACCACGCAGGTGGGCGCCCCGGAGCTCCCCACACGCGCGCGGACCCCCAGGCCCCAGGCCCAGGGCAGCGCCTGACCCCGCCTCCCCCTGGCTGTTGCAGACCGAGGAGCTGAACAAGCAGGTGGTGTCGAGCTCGGAGCAGCTGCAGTCCTACCAGGCGGAGATCATCGAGCTGCGGCGCACGGTCAACGCCCTGGAGATCGAGCTGCAGGCGCAGCACAACCTGGTGCGTGGGGGCGGCCCTGGGGGAGCCGGCGGGAGGGGAGGCGTGGGCGCCTTGTGAGCCTTGGGTCTCCCGGCCGGGACTGGTCCGGGGCCCTGCAGGAGCCGGGCCGGAGCGGTCCCCTGACGTCCTCGTCCCCCGCAGAGAAACTCCCTGGAGAACACGCTGAACGAGAGCGAGGCCCGCTACAGCTCGCAGCTGTCGCAGGTGCAGTGCCTGATCGGCAGCGTGGAGTCGCAGCTGGCGGAGATCCGGGCTGACCTGGAGCGGCAGAACCAGGAGTACCAGGTGCTGCTGGACGTGCGGGCGCGGCTGGAGTGCGAGATCAACACGTACCGGGGCCTGCTGGACAGCGAGGACTGCAAGTGAGTGGGCTGAGGATTCTGGGACGGAGCAGATCATGAGAATGTGAAACACTGCGTGCAAGCATGGAGGCTTTATTTTCAAGTTCCTAGACCATGCACGTTAGCTGAGTGATTGCCCTGTGCTTAGTGGTGTGAGAGGAAGGCAGATGTGGGCCTGGCCAAGGTGAAGGCTGCAGCCCCCCACGCCGGTGTGGCTATCCAAGGAGAGACAGGTGGCACTAGGGACAGGGACAGTCAGTAGTGTTCACTGGGTGGGGAGCTCGGGTTAAATTCCATGACAGCTTAGGAGCACTAGAGAATATTTTCCAAAACAAAGCTTTCTGCTTCTGACAAGGCATTCTGGGAGTGGGAGAAGGATTTGCTAACAGTCACAACTTTATTCCTTCTAATTCCAAGCACAGACACATCACAGGTTGTCTCCTGAAGCCCAAGGTATTGTGTGCACCTTTGGCTTCTCTGTCCTCTGCCCCCAACCCATTCTAACTCTCCCCGTCCTTCCAGGCTGCCCTGCAACCCGTGTGCCACCACCAATGCCACTGGCAGTTCCTGCGGGCCCTGCGGCAGCTGTCAGAAGCGTTGTTAATTGAACAGTGGTGCCCTCCTGGAAGACGTCAGTGAAGCCACTTGGATGAAGCCCAGGAACGATCCCCAGGGCCTCCCTGGGCCAGGGCTCAGTTGCCACTAATGCCAGCTAGGATTCTAGACCCTGATGCGTTTTCCAGACCCAACAAGCAAGGACTCCTATCATCAACTTCCGATGTCAGGAAAAGTCCCCGGGCTTCGGCACTGGGCCTCTTCCCTCCTGGAGGTGTTTAGCCCGCTGAGATCTGTGCTCCAGGGATTACTTTTGGGCATTTCCTGTACACACTGCAATTCCCTGCTCTCCTTTCTTCTCTGGCATTCTCTTGAATGCACGGAGGTGACTTCATTTACTTCCCAATAAACTCCATTTCTCTGGCATAGCAAACGTGCCTCTTATTTGTAATCATGCATCGTGCAGTACTCATTGGGAGGGCTTCGCAGAAATGTCCTTCATGAGGAGGACAAAAGGGTTTAAATGACGGCCTCAGCTCTCCCCGGAGCACTGCTGGAGAGGGTGGGTGTCCCCGGGGTGCTCTTGCCAAAGGGACGCCATGCAGGAGTCCCTGTGTCAGCACCCATGCCTGCCTGTCGTGGCTGCAGGGCCCCTGATTGCTCTGAGAATCCCCCACTGCTGTCCCCAAAAGACTGAAAGTTTCTTCTCTCCTTTCTCTTAAACTTCCTGAAGCCTCACCTCTGTGGAAACTGCACAGAGCAGCGATCCTCCCCTCTCACCTCTCTGCTGCACCTGCTCCTGCCGACAGTGCCCCCCCCCCGCAATCACCTTCCTCGATGCTGTAACCCTGCACACCAGGTGCTCTTGTTGCATCTCTGATTACCTGTGCTCTGTCTTCCTGTTGGCTGTGCCACCGCTTTCTACCCCAAGTGGAGGAAACACTTGGATCCTCAGCCTCTATTTTTCTCCTTCTATGTTCTGGCTCCTCCTGGTGAAATCTCTGTGCCGATGGCTCTCAGATCTCACAATCAGCTCAACTTCCAGGTTCTCGGTTGCCCATGGGCCAGTTTCACTAGCTGCCAGTCTGTTCCCTCATAATCATTGGGCACGGACTTTGCCGAGCTGTTGTTCCCTAATACCTTTATATTTATTTATTTATTCATTTATTTTTGAGGCAGGTCTCCCTGTGTAGTTGAGACTCCCTGGAACTCACTATGTAGCCCAGGCTGGATTCGAACTCACAGCAGGATCCTCCTGCCTCAGCCTCCCGAGTGCTGGGATTACAGGCGTGCACCGCCATGCCCGGCCCCTAATGTCCTTCAAATGCAGTCTCTTTTCACTTTTCTCCCTCAAGGTTGAGTCCTTCCTTTTGGTCTTTACTCAAATCACCTCTTTTTCACCTCATTTCCTGCGATTCCAAGAAAGGCCAAGGTTCCCGAAATATCTCCCGGGAAACACTAACCCTACCGTGGCCACCCCTCTTGGGCTCGTCTTTGGCTTTTAGGGTTGTCAAATGTGCGGAGTGCAGTCTCGGTTGCACACACCACGTACTCTCGCTGACGACGCAAGTGCAGCCCACATCTCTCTTCCATTCCCACTGAAACTGCAGGCTTTGAAAACCCCAGGGCTCAGCGGATATAAAATGTGTCTGTCTGCCCAGCAGAGAGCAGGCCATCACCTAATTAAAGCCTCGTGTACACTGTGGGATGCTGCAAGTGGCATAAATAAGGAAGAGAGAGTAACATTAGTAAGTATTCGTGATAAGGTCATTAAAACTTTATATGCTTCCCACGGTTTCAACTTCAGGCAGCTCTTATCATATGACATCAGCGTAATCCTGAAAGAAAGTTTGGTGGGGTACGTTTGGATAACTGAATGTGCGTAGGTCCAAGAGAGGGGAACTTATTTTTCGACCATAAATTTTGCCTGTAAGGAGATGAGGAATCAGGAGCCGTACGTAGAGTCAGATTGTCTGATTTATACTCTGGAACCCAGAACAAATGTGCAGAAACAGGAAGGGTGGAAGAAGGGAACAGCAGGGCAGTGGTGCAGGACCACGTCCCACGGTGTGCTCATCCTGGAGACTTGCTCTGGAGGACGGTGGCTACAGCACTTGTGTCTAGGCTCGGTTGCAGTGGCTCCTGGAAGTTGGTAGAGTCAAGTGGAGTGGAAGACAGAAAGATCAATTGGAAGGCTGGTGAGAGACAGCAAGGCGTGGGTAGAGCAGGGAATGGGTGGATTCTGAAAGCTCTGCCTGGGATCCGGAAGCTGATTGGAGGAAGAGGAACGACAGTGAGCAAAGAAGATGGCAGGAAGTGATCGAACATTGTATCAGCCAGGGTGCCCCGGGAAATAGAACCAAGAGGATATCTAATATAGAGATAGAAAGGAATGTTCTGTGCAGGATTGGCTCAGGCCATCATGGAGGCTGAGAAACCCCACAGTCGGCTCACTGCTACGAGGTGGACCAGGATTCTGGTGGCGCAGTTTTATTCCAAGCAGAAGTCCTGAGAACCAAGGAAGTCAATGGAATAAGTCTCAGGGTTTGAAAACATCAAAATTAGAGAGCAAGAGAGGACGGATGGCCAGGAATGTTCTGTGCAGGATTGGCTCAGGCCATCATGGAGGCTGAGAAACCCCACAGTCGGCTCACTGCTACGAGGTGGACCAGGATTCTGGTGGCGCAGTTTTATTCCAAGCAGAAGTCCTGAGAACCAAGGAAGTCAATGGAATAAGTCTCAGGGTTTGAAAACATCAAAATTAGAGAGCAAGAGAGGACGGATGGCCACCCAAGAGGAGAGAAGGGACTCAGCCTTCTTAGACTCTTTTCTTCTGTTTGGGGCCTCAATGGAGTGGAGGACGCCCACCCACGTTGGTACAGGTGACCTTCATGTGCGATCTCTCCCAGAACATCCTCACAGGCTCACACAGTGATGATGTCTCCCTGGTAGCCTGGGCATCCCCCAGCCCCATCAAGGTGGCACAGAAAATTAAACCATCACAAATACCTACTACGGGTCTGACGATTTTGAGCCCCAGAGAACGAGACAATAGTGGATCTCCAGTGGAGGGGACTTGACTGGGTTTGGAGGTGTAGAGTTACCTGTGTAAGGATGGTAGTTAGACCTGCAGGAGGAATTCGGAGCTCCTCCACTGCTGGTTCCTTATTGGAAACTGTTGAACAGAGACAAACCTGATAGCACTCTTGCCCTGGCTTTGCCATCTGTATACATTAACATATAATTAATGGGTGAGTAGCGTAATAAGTTCCTCTGCGTTTCCAAAGGAACAAATCTGACATTTCTCCTGGTGAGAATTTCCAGCACTAGGACCTGACCGTGATGCAAGCTGTTGAGGACCAATAAAAAGAAGGCGGCAGAATACAGAAGAACCTTGGTGTCACCGATAGGAATGACCGGGCTGACCTGGAACAAGAGTCCTTAACACGACCGTCACCCCTGATATCACCGGGTCTTTGAGGCCGGGGGTGACAGCTGGGTACAGCAGCTGGAGAGGGAATCGGAGAAGTAGCTGAAGAGACGCTGAAAGAAAAGCAGAGCAGGTTTCAGCGAAGTCATCAAGAGCGTCCAGGCCAAGGAAGATGAGAGTCGGACCAATCTCTTGAAGACAGAAGGGGGAGATCGCTGCTGACCACGAAGGGCAGGGCCTGTGGGGTACTGGGGAGGAAGCCGTGCTTTAGTAGCTTGTTGGTGTCTGTCTCGAATCGCCAGCTCAAGGGTGAGCTAACGGCAGTGCCTCACCACAATACCTTCACACTCAGCACGCAGCCTACTTCACTCTGTTCTCTGTGGACTGCTGACAAATGTTTCAGCGTCTGTTCTTTCCCTTGACGGCACAGCAGGCTACAGAGATGGACCTTCATTCCTCCTCTGGGAGGTCCCTGAGCCCAGCTTTCCCTGGCAGCCTAGCACCAGGAAGTTACGCTGCCCTGAGTGGTTTCATGTTCCTCGCTTTTATTTTAGACTAAGTGGAGCTAAAAACCTAGCCTGGCTGGACTTTGCATTTTTCTGACTTGCCTTGGTCCCCGAAGCCCCCAAACTCCATCCTAATGTCTCATGGGCTGAGTGTGAGGTAAACACTGGCAGCCCTGGGGGGGGGGCTTGTGGTGGAAGCTTCAGCCCATTCTGAAGCACCCCCGTCTGATTTTGCTCCAGTTAGGATCTTAACTGTCCCCTGAGCCAATGTGCTACAGGACTCGTCAGAATGGTGCTGTGTGAAGGCAGCGGAATCTTTAAGAGGCACAACTTTTAGGTCACTGGGGCGTAGCCTGAGGGGGCTGGGGAAACCCCAGACTCTTGTCCTTTCTTTGGCTCGTGGACTGTGAGAACTGCCCTGCCTTGCAACTGATCATGGGCTGGTGCCACCAAAACTGTCAACTCAAATAAACCTTTGCTGTTTATAAACTGATTGTCTCGGGTCCTTTGTTGTACGAATGGAAGGCTCATTAAAAGATTCTCTTTCTACCAGCCTGGCTCATTCTCAAGCTCCTCCACTGCTGGTTCCTTATTGGAAACTGTTGAACAGAGACAAACCTGATATCACTCTTGTCCTGGCTTTGCCATGTTTACATATTAACATACAATTAGCATACAATTAGCATATAATTAATCAGCCAGTAGTGCAATAAGTTCCTTTGCATTTCTAGAGGAACAGATTTGGTGAGAATTTCTCCTGGTGAGAATTTCCAGCACTAGGACCTGGTTGTGATGCAAGCTGTTGGAGGGAGCTCTTTGTCACAGGTAGGGTGGCCTCAGCAGAAAATCTGAGTCCTGTGGGTGAGGTCCTGTGGATTCCTCACACAGGAGCGGCCTTGGCTTCCCTCGTAAACAGCATCCTTAGACCTCAAATGCTCTTCAGTTGCTTACATCTTGAGACCAGAAGCCTCGACCGCAGTGTTGGCCACAATTACAGGCAGTTGTAAAATCTCTCTGCTGGTTGGGATTTGATTTGTTTATTGAGGTGTCGCTGGCCCGAGAGTATCATCGCTTACGTAAAGGTGAGAATTCACGGGACACCAGGAGTGGAATAAATGAAGAGTAATCGCTTCCAGGAATTCCTTGGCAGCAGACTGAAACCTGTTTCTTCTTTAGGAGGCAGGAAGTCCTCTCCACCATTGCTGTTTGGCGGCTGCGTAGCTACGCAGCAATCATAGTTACGTCTCCTTGGGACTTGCAAATACTTTCGTTTTCTAAACTCTGCTCTGTGCTTTTGAAGACACAGAACACTTAGCCATGGCTTGTTCTACTCTGACTGAGGTAGAAGCCACAGCAGGTTTATGCAGACTTTTGGCTACATATTCGCTAGGCTGTCATGTGTTACTCCTTTCTTCACAAAGTGGCATTTCGCTGGAACACAGAACAAAGGAAGAACAGGAAGTAACTGGAGAAAAATGAATGGATCCAGCCGTTTGCCTCATGTTACTTGATGTGATCCAATGGGGCTCAATCAGTTCGATACTGATTTGAAGCCAGCACACCCACTGCGCAGCTCACTGGTGGTGGGATCGTGTTAGATAGAGGCAGGAAAGCAGGCAGGAGGGGCAGAGAGTTGTGGGTTTCGACAAGGGAGAGGGTGTCAGTGGTTTTGAGACCTTCACTCTGGAAGACCAAGCATTTCCCCCCAAGCGTCAGTCCTTTCCAAAAGCACACTTGAGACCCCTCCCTGGAAATGACTTTTCAAATCAGCCGAGAATGCACGTTTGTACCTGACAGTTACAGTTTGTTTCTGACCCATTACAGACACCACTCAGCTTGGACGTTCACCAGGCTCACCAGGCCTGGGTCCAAATGACATCAGGCTGGTTCCTTGGAAGACAGACATTTGCCTTGGGTGAGGGTAACCCAAAGAATGTGCCCCAGGCCACCAGGGCGGGTCTGGGAAGAGGTGCCCCAGGAGTGGCCACGGGGCAGGAGCTGGCGTGAGGCTTCCAAAAGGAACAACTCAAAAGAGACGCCTTTCATCTTTGGAACACTGGCAGAGTCAAATAGAATCCTTGCAGTTCATGCTCCGTCTGCGATGGCACGAGGGCGAAGCATTTGTTTGTCAAACGCTGTCCCAGCAGCCCTGAGCCACCGCCTAGGAAGGTGAGGATGTGGGGTTTTGCACAGCCATGTGCTTCCGAGGGCTGAGTTCGGATTAACCAGGGTTCTGTTTTAAAGCTCCCAGTGGCGGAAACGACCTTGGTTCTTTAACAGAGCAGAGCAGGCCCTTACGTCTTGGCTCCTGTCATCTAGGAGGTGGATCGCTGTGCTGTCTACATCTGCGCTGTTGTGTCGCAGTGCGGAGAGCAGAAGGGACGTGGGGAACGCGCAAGGCGATGGGGGGTGGCCCCGGAGTTAGAGACCCGGGAGGAAGCCCGGCTCCGCGGTGTAGGAGCTCCGTGACCTTGGGTGGCCTCTCATCCTCACACTCCTGCACGGTTTCCACGCTGTGTGCAGGCGCAGAGCGCAGTGCCCAGGGGTGCTGCCCACGGTAGCCTTTCTCAGTTCCCTCAGGAAGACTGAGCGGTGGAAAGGGAGTGCGGCCGGTGCAGCTGTCACCCCCAGGGGACGGAACGGCACAGGGACAGAGCCGATGGCCTTGGCAGTCTCCTCTGGTCTCAGCTGCCCGGATTCCTCACGAGATAATCTGGTCTGCGGAGGGGCGTCTCAGCTGGTTTCCCCACAGGGCCCTACCTGAGTAGGAACTGGATAGGGCGTAAACCTTCCCTTCTGCAGAAGACGCACAGATACGAGTCTGACTGCCAGAGGACAGCGGGGAGCTTCCCTGGGACTCGGCCCTCCACCCAGAAGTGCTGCTGTTGGCAAAGCTGGTCACTTTGAAGTCAAACCAGGACGCTCTTAGGTGACTGAGCGGCAGGGGTGGGAGGAGCCCTGACTCAGCACGGAGCCCGAGTAAAAACATTCTAAGTGGTGAAGGACTCCTGGGAGGTGGCTCAATAATACCCGGAAAAATTGGTAAAGAGGGCAAAAGGGACAATGTTTATGGGGTCGCCACACCCACCACTGACAGAATATAAAGCTGGGCAGAGGACCAGGACCTATACCAGAGACAAGAAAGCAGGTTTCGAAGCTGATTCTCAGAGCTCTGCTCCCTCCCAGCACCATGCCCTACAACTGCTGCCCGCCCACCCCGAGCTGCCGCACCAGCTGCGCCTCCCGGCCCTGCGTGCCCCCCAGCTGCCACGGCTGCACCCTGCCCGGGGCCTGCAACATCCCCGCCAACGTGGGCAGCTGCAACTGGTTCTGCGAGGGCTCCTTCAACGGCAGCGAGAAGGAGACCATGCAGTTCCTGAACGACCGGCTGGGCAGCTACCTGGAGAAGGTGCGGCAGCTGGAGCGGGAGAATTGCGAGCTGGAGCGGCGCATCCAGGAGCGCAGCCAGCAGCAGGAGCCCTCGCTGTGCCCCAGCTACCAGTCCTACTTCCGCACCATCGAGGAGCTGCAGCAGAAGGTGAGGCCTGGCCGTCGCCCCCAGCCTGGGGAGCTGTGCGATTCTCCTCTCCGGGGCGAGACGGGGACCTTGCTTCCGGGCTCTCATCGTTCTAGCCTTTCCCTTCCCTTCACGGAAGAGAGAGAAGCTGATGGTCTCGAATTGGTTTTCCACCCTCACTGAGCAACTTCTGCCTCCCAGATCCTGTGCAACAAGGCTGAGAACGCGCGGCTGGTGGTGGAGGTGGACAACGCCAAGCTGGCCACCGACGACTTCAGGACCAAGTGAGCGGGGCCTTGGGGCGCTGCTGTCCGCACTGACAACGCTGACGGAGCTGTCCCTGGACTGCCCCCTAAGCTCTGCAGAGTTCTTGCTTCACAAACCTCAGGATCCCCTCATAGTCCGTCCCTCTGTGAAGTGATGTCCACCAGTCACGCCACGTGTCGGTGTGGACAGCTCAGGCCTCTGACGTCCTGCTGTGCCTAGACAGAAATTGTGAGAACAGCAGAACTGTATCCATTCTGGAAACCTTTTAGCTCACGGACTTGCCTCTTCCTCAACCCACCAGTTCAGGAAGAAAATAATTACCAGAGCGTTTTACTCTAGGACAGACTGAAACAGACAAGATTGCCAGAAAAATTACCAACCCCAATTTTGTTGTCTGGCAAACCAAAGCAAGCAGGGTCAAGGCCGGGTGTGTTGCTGCCCAGCCTGACCCTGAACCTCCTTCACCCACAGGTACCAGTCGGAGCTGTCCCTGCGGCAGCTGGTGGAGTCGGACATCAACGGCCTGCGCAGGATCCTGGATGAGCTGACCCTGTGCAGATCCGACCTGGAGGCACAGGTGGAGTCGCTGAAGGAGGAGCTGCTGTCCCTCAAGCAGAACCACGAGCAGGTGAAGTTCTCGACAGGATGGGGCTTGCAGGGACCCGCTTCCAACCACACTGCCTCAGTTAGCTCAGGAAGCTGTTCGAGTTCCCAAAGTCTGTGATGGGAGATTAGGCGTTTTTCTGGCAGAGGCAGGAAGGAGGTTGGAGGAGGGTGGGCCGCTCTGAAACAAGGGAAGGTCGCCAGAGCTGCTGCTGCCACTGTCTCCTCTGTGGGTCCGTGCAGCCCTGGCCATCATGGGTCTCACTGTCCCTTTGTCCCAGAGAAGGCTATGGCCCTGGGCCACCCAGCAGAGTGGGTTGAAGAGCAGGCTACAAAGGTCAAAGGCTCCTCAGCTCCGCCCAGAGCTCTTTCTGCTGTTGGTGGAGCTGGGAAGACTGGTGGCCGAGGAAGACAGATATTCCAACGTCTTTCCCAGCACAGCCAGTGTTAGCGGAGAGCTTGTGTTGTGCCAAACATGGCGCCGAACACTTTAGAGCTCCAGGCCCGGTTCTCACTTTAAGATGAAGAAACGGAGGGCTGGAGAAGCTTCTAGAAGCCACAGAGAGAGTGTTGGAGATGAGGCCCGCCCGCTGCCCAGCCCAAGAACCAAGCTGCTCTGCTCTGTGAAGAGACAGCAGGGAAGGGAGCTGGCGTTTCTCACCCAGCAAAATCTACATCAGCAGAAGCAACAAACTGCTAGTTAAGATGACTCTATTCTAGCGAGGCAGGTGCTGAAGTAAGCATCGACTTTGTTTAGAAGGGGTCTTTTTATTACCCATGCTGAGAATCAAACTGATGACGCTATGAGATATTCCACCAAGAACACTGAAGTGGGGCTTTAGGGGCCAGAATTTAAGTCATGGGCAACTGTGTCTGAGCTCCGAGGCCACCACACACCACACAGCCCTCAGACAAAAGTGGGAAACTGAGTCAGAAGGGCAGAGGGAGCACAGACTCAAGACACTCAGTGAACTTCCATGCGGGGATTAGCCACTGAGCGGAACCTGGTCCAGGAGCGGAGAGAGGGCAGGGCTGTCTCTGAGAGCTCAGGAATCACCGGAAACAAAATTGTATTACCTCGCCGAAAACACCCAGGTCACCGGTGAAGTCGAACACTTCCTTCTCCTCCACAGGAAGTCAACACCCTGCGCTGCCAGCTCGGGGACCGCCTCAACATAGAGGTGGACGCGGCGCCCTCCGTGGACCTGAACCGCGTGCTCAACGAAGTCAGGAGCACGTACGAGGCCGTGGTGGAGACCAACCGCAGGGAGGTGGAGGAGTGGTACACCACGCAGGTGGGCGCCCCGGAGCTCCCCACACGCGCGCGGACCCCCAGGCCCCAGGCCCAGGGCAGCGCCTGACCCCGCCTCCCCCTGGCTGTTGCAGACCGAGGAGCTGAACAAGCAGGTGGTGTCGAGCTCGGAGCAGCTGCAGTCCTACCAGGCGGAGATCATCGAGCTGCGGCGCACGGTCAACGCCCTGGAGATCGAGCTGCAGGCGCAGCACAACCTGGTGCGTGGGGGCGGCCCTGGGGGAGCCGGCGGGAGGGGAGGCGTGGGCGCCTTGTGAGCCTTGGGTCTCCCGGCCGGGACTGGTCCGGGGCCCTGCAGGAGCCGGGCCGGAGCGGTCCCCTGACGTCCTCGTCCCCCGCAGAGAAACTCCCTGGAGAACACGCTGAACGAGAGCGAGGCCCGCTACAGCTCGCAGCTGTCGCAGGTGCAGTGCCTGATCGGCAGCGTGGAGTCGCAGCTGGCGGAGATCCGGGCTGACCTGGAGCGGCAGAACCAGGAGTACCAGGTGCTGCTGGACGTGCGGGCGAGGCTGGAGTGCGAGATCAACACGTACCGGGGCCTGCTGGACAGCGAGGACTGCAAGTGAGTGAGGTGTGGGTTTTCCCTGGACACGAAAGGTCCCCGTGGGGTGCATGGTCCCGTGGTGACGTGGCCTTCCAGTTTCTAGGTCTTGGCTGGAGTCCTCTGTCGCGAGCCGGCGACGCAGAGCACTGTCCAGCAGTGCCTCAAACCTGAAAGAGCAGCGGGGTGGAGATGGGGCAGAGAGAAAGGAAGGACGCCAAGACAAGAGTCTGATCAAGGCGACGTTTATTGCAGGCAGGCATCAGCCTTTTAAAGGAAAAGGCCGAACTACTATGGGCTAGGATTACCATAGTAACCTCAACACCCGCTCCACGGGAACGAGGGTTCACACGGGCAAGAGAAAGCAGGCTCAAGAAAAACAAATTAACAACACTTGCAACTAATAATCATGATTCCCAAATAGGTAGAGGAACTTAACAAAATGGAGTTACAACACCTGACTCCTACAGATAACGTCAGATCTTTAACAGGAAGCACCTGACTCCTACAGATCTTTGGCTGTCCGAGTTTCTCCTGTGCAGGGTCAAAACAAGTTTAACACGTGCAGTCCTTAAAAAGGAACAAATGTTGTCTTTCAAAAAGCCAGTGGGCCATGGCTGGCTTCCCACACCTACTGGTGATCTTTGGCTGCTGCTGCTGCTGGGTAAATTCTGCTTTGCAACTTCAGGGATGTTTGGTGACATCAAAAAGAAAATGAGAAATGGAGGCAATCACCACTCTGATGTCACCAAAAGGTGGAAGTCCATTGTTTTCGTCGATCCCTGTTGGAATCATGCAGCAGGCAGAGTGGGATTCGTGACCGTCTTCCCGGTGGGGGCCTCTTGACAACTGGGGAGATGACGCGGTAGCTGATGGGACACCTCCCTTGTTGGCACACAGTAATTTTATGAACATGGTGTTTGGAGTTTCTACCTGTGGGTGTTGGATAGCACCAGTCCCATTTTACAGGTGTGAGGCAAAGGCTTATGTGACAAGGTGACTCCCCACATCTTCAGGGTTAAAGGGCAAAGGCTGGGATTACCCCCGCTTTTCTGTCACTGCCTCTGAGCTTAGTAGGAACAGGACTGGGCTTCCTGAGCCATCAGGGAATGGGTTCTGTGTATCCCATGCCGTGCGGGTTGAGCTTTCTCTGATGATGATCTAATTCTCCCGTGTCCTAGGCTGCCCTGCAACCCCTGCGCCACCACCAATGCCTGTGACAAGCCCATTGGGCCCTGCGTCTCCAATCCTTGTATTTCCCGCTCCCGCTGTGGGCCCTGCAACACCTTCGGGTGCTAGGCAGCCCAGGGCCAGGAGGAGGACCGTGTGAAGACAGAAGACCCTAGGCCCGCTCCACCTCTCAAGCCCGTGTTCAGCATCACCACGAGTCGTGTCCTGGAAGGAGAAGGGAGGCCCAGGTCTGTGGCCTGGCTCCTAGCCTCTGCCACCGGGACCTCTTCGGCCAGGTCCCTGTCTCCTGCCTGTGTCTGGTGGACCGAGAGGCCTGAGCCTCAAAGGGCCCTTGGGTGGTGGGTTGTGGTTCCCATGGCCGTTTCTGCTTTTCTTGCTCTTTCCCACATCTCCCAATAAACTTTCCTCCTGCAAACAGACATGATTCTCGTGTGTGTTTTTCCTTCTCACAGTGCTCCTCTGTGCAATAAACAATTGTCAAAGTGGCCAGACTGCCAAACTGTTATATCAGGTCTATGCCATCCCAATAAAAACACCAACAGCACACTTTATGGATCTACTAGAGAAAACAACCCTGAAACTCACACGAAGCCAGAAGAGACCCAGAATAGCCAAAGTAATTTTGAGCAAAGAGGAAGCAGGTGGCATTGCGATACCAGACTTCAAGCTATGCTGCAAAGCAGTAGTGATAAAAAGGGCATGGTACTAGAACAAAAACAGACACCTGGATCAATGGAACAGAACTGAGGATACAGAAACCTCCCCAGGCATATTCAACTATTTGATTTTTGCTAAAGGGATCAAAAGCATATGTTGGAGGAAGGTAGCCTACTCGACCAGTGGTGTTGGGAAACTGGTTGTCTGCTTCCCAAAGATCTCTTATCTCTCTCTGTGTACTAAATTAAAATCAAAACAGATCAGAGACCTAAGCCTTCTGGAAGATAAACTGGGTAAGACTCTCGAAGACTCAGTGTATGAAAAGATTTTCTAAGTGGAAGCTCAGTCGCACAAGAAATAGCAGCTGTCTGGAGAAGGTTGTAGATCCAGTTCTCGAACCCCAGCCTCTCCTCTCCCCAAGCAACTTCATGGCTGGGAGCCACCTCCACACCTTGTGAATTCACCCGGATCCTGTCCCCTGACAGTGACCTTGCAGTGGTCTTTACCGGGAACAGCTGCCTCCCAGGTGCCAGCTCTGTTGCTTAGGAGCAAGAGTTCAAATTTCTCAATGTAGACATACACAGGGAACTTGCTCCGCTGTGTGTGAAGTACCGACTCAGACTTTGTCTCCGAGTTCCGGGGGCCATGTGGGGATAACCGGGATCAGGGACTGGCCTTCGTTCTTGTCGCTGCACAGTGCTTGGCAGGGAATAGAAAGGAGTGTCTCTTTTTCTCAGGACCAAGCCAGTTTCCTTTCTGAGGTATCTAGGTAGGAGTCAGCATTACTGCTCGGCACACAGGTGGCCAAATATAAAGGCTCTAAAGTCCACGATGACACGATTAAGACCTGTGGCTGGCCACCGAATACACCAAGGCAATGCTGCTGTTTCTGATTTTGAGTGGCTAATTATGAAATGATTTCAAATATACAAAAGTGTAAAAATGAAAGAGACACCTATAAATCCATAACTAAGATTTAGGAAATATTAACCTCATGCCATATATACATCATCTCTGAATTTTTGTTTTTGAAACGTGATGTTACAGATTGGGATAACTCTCACCTGTTTCCATCCTTTCCGTCTGTCTCCCTAGGGGTAAGCAGTATTCTAAACTTGGTGGCGTATCGTTCTTCAATAAAGCACTTCGAAAACGTATACATGGTTATGTTCATGCATATATGGTTGTATGTGTGTGTGTGTGTGTGTGTGTTTCAACACTATGTCCTTTTTGGTATGTGTTTTGATTTAGCAGTTCAAGTTGGACGGGATGTATTTATAAATCTTGATATTTTTCTTCTCCTTTTCCTCCACCTTCTCCCTCTCTTTCTTCTTTTCCTAACACTGAGGATCGAATCCAGGGCTTCACGCACGGCTGGCAAGCACTCTGCCATTGAGCTACATCTCCAGCCCTGTTTATTTTTAATTTTGAGATAGGGTCTCACTAGGTTGCCCAGGCTGGCTTCGAATTGGCAGTCCTCCTGCCTCACTTTCCCAGTTAGGTGGGATTCCAGGTGTACACCACGGCACCCAGTGGGATGCTTATTTCTTTCTTAAGATTACAAGCAGTGTTTCAGGAGCATCTTGCCAATATGTCTTTAGGCATTTGCATGTTTCTTCAGAGCAGTGGTTCTCAAAGTGCAGCCCCCTGAGAACCTGTTAGAAATGCTCATAGTGGAGAAAGAAGACATGAACCAAGGATCTGGTGGCTTCTGGATGCTCGGCATGGTTTTCAGGTGACAACCCATAGGGAATTGCAGACCTCATTCCTGCAACCTCAAGAAAATGGAATTCTTGGGCGGGAGATTTGGCTCAGTGGTTCTCTCGCCTGTCTTGCAAGTGCAAGGGCCGTAGTTTGATCCCTGGTGCAAAAAAAAGGAATTCTTTCAACAACAACTTAAGTGATCAAGGCAATGGATTCTCACCTAGAACCTCCAGAAAAGAATGTTGTCCCTCAGACACTCTGACCTCAGCCCCACGAGACTGTGTCAGATTTCTGACCTACGGAATTGCAACATAACAGATATGTGTAATTTTTAGCCACTAAGCTTGCGACACAAGTAATTGAAAATGCACAATATCCCTTATCATCCTATTGTTGTTTGTAGGATCTGTAGTGATGTCCACTGATCATGCTAATTTATTCCCTCTCTTTGTTTTTCTTTGTCCTTCTTGCTAGATAGAGGCATTTGTCACTTCTGTTGACCTTTCAAATAAATATCTGTTTCACTGCAAAAAGAAAGTGCTGATCTCCAGCCCTATCGAAGACCTACACATCCAGAAAGTCTGAGAGTAAAATCTGGAAAGCTATTTTAACTGCCCGCTGGGAGATTTCATTCTCTTTAAACTAGAGTGCTGTCAGACTTAGCAAATGTGGCCAATGAGATGTGGGTACCATGGTATCCTTGTCAGTTTGGAGTTTTTTAAAAAATGCCTAGGGAAATTATGCATTTAAAAAGTTTTCATTGACCTTTTAGGTTTCCTCCCTGTACTTCTGATTTAACTCAACAAATAATCATTGAGTACTTAAGATGGTGCCTGCTTGACAGAGCAGAGGTAAAGGCAAGCTCCTTTCTCCAGGAGTTTATTTTCCTTGGAGAAAGCAGGTGAGGAAGAGAGACAATGGGTGTGTCCATCTCAAGTAGCTCGGGGAGGGGGACCCAGAATGTGGGAGGCAGGGGCTGTTTTTTTTTTTTTTTTTTT